TCTCCACCACCGATCTTGTTAGCTTTCTTGCCATTACAGCCTGAAGACATCTTTGAAAACTGAACCCAGCTTATCTACTGTCATTCTCACTTAACATGATAATAAATTTTATACCCACAGGAATCCTTATAAGTCAATATTATTATTTTCATGTTATAAACGAGGAAACTGAGGTTTAGGAAAGTTAAATAACACAATTGAGTTCACATTTGGGTATTTTACAAAAATTTTTAAATAACCAACTTTCTTTCCATACTGAAAATTTAAGATACTAAAGCTCTTATTGCATTCAACATTTAAGAGCCCAAGATATACAGATATTGCAGAAACTCTAAGAGATCATTCAGTACATTAGTGCTTATCTCTATCTGACCCAATGCCCTCTTTTAATAATTAATACTTTGTAGTACCTTCTTGGTAAACATGAAATAAAATTAATAATAAAATATAATATTCAATAGGCAAAACTAGACTAGAAGAAAATAAGAAAATGAAAGTAGCTGAATTAGTCAATGATTGTTGCATTACAAACCTCAAAATCTCAATGGTTTTTAAAAGTAAGTATTTATTTTTCATAAACTTGAGAGTTAATGGAGACACCTTTGCTGAGGTGACTCCTCTCCAGGAGATTCTCATGCTTTTCCTGAGACCAACAGACAAAATGGAGCACTGTTGTCTGTTGACTATGGAAACAGAAAAAGTAGGAACAAACAAGGCCTCTCAAGGTGGCATGTGCCACCCTGCTTGGCTAATATTTAAATTGTTTTGTAGAGACAATGCCTCACTATATTGCCTTTGTTGGTCTTGAACTCATGGGCTCAAGTGATCTTCCTGCCTTGGCCTCCCAAAGTGCTGGGATTACAGGAATGAGCTACCATGGCCTGGCCCAGCTTGGTATTCTCTGGCTTGTAGATATATCACTCCAATCGCTGCCTTTATCACTAGGCTCAGGACCAATGCCATATCATGTCTGCTCACATTTCATGGTCCAAAGCAAGTCACTAAGTCAAGGGGCAGAGAAAGTTACTACCTCGAGTTGGAGGAGTGGCACAGTTACGTGGCAAAAAATATGGATACAGGGAGGGATGGAGAACTGGGTCCTCTAATTGATCTAACTCAATACGTGGAGTATTACTAGTCTTTCAAGACCCTGATCCCCATGCATCCAGCTTCTGTTGGAGCCCTGTATTAGTTGCTAGGGCTGCCATAACTAAGTACCACAAACTTGGTGGCACAAACAACAGAAATGTACCCTCTCACAGTTTTGGAATCCAGATATCTGAAATCAAAGTGGCAACAGGTTTCATTCCTTCTAAGGACTGTAAGAATCTGTTCCATGCCTTGCCCCTAGCTTCTGATGATTTGCTGACCATCTTATCATTCTTTTTTTTTCTTTTCTTTGAGACAGGATCTCTCTCTGTCACCCAGGGAGGAGTGCAGTGGCACGATCTCAGTTCACTGCAACTCCTGCCTTCTGGGCTCAAGCAATCCTCCCACATCAGCCTCCTGAGTAGCTGGAACTACAGGTGTGCACCACCATGCTTGGCTGATTTTTAAATTTTTTTGTACAGATTATATCTCACTATAACCCTTTCACGGGTTTTAAACTCATGGGCTGAAGCAATCCTCCTGCCTCAGCCTCCCAAAGTGCTGGGATTACAGGCCATGAGCTACCTTGGCCTGGCCCAGCTTGACATTCTTTGGCTTATAGACACATCGCTCCAGTCACTGCCTTTATCTTTCCATGGCATTCTTCCTGCATGTGTGTCTGCAAACTCATTACCCCTTTATGTAAGAACATCAGTCATATTAGATTAGGAGTCCTCCATACTCCAGTGTGACCTTAATATAATTACATAGCCAATGATCCTATTTCCAAATAAGGTCACATTCAGAGGCACGGGTGTTAAAAACTTGTGATGGCTAATTTTTTGTGTCAACTTGGCTGAGCTAAGGGATGCCCAGATAGCTGGAAAATTTATTTCTGGTTGTGTTCATGATGGTATTTTTGGAAGAGATTAACATTTGAATTCATAAACTGAGCAAAGAAGAACCACTCTCCCCAGTGTGGTTGGGCATCCAATCCACTGAGGGCCCAAGTAGGACAAAAAGGCAAAGGAAGAGTGAATTCACTGTCTCTTCCTGAGTTGGGACATCCATCTTCTGCCCTTGGACATCAGTGCTCCTAGTTTTCGGGCCTTCAAACTCAGATTGGGACTTACACCATTGGCTATCCTGGTTCTATGGGCTGTGGGCTTGAACTGGAACTATACCATTAGCTTTCTGGGCCTCCAACTTGCAGATGGCAGATGGTGAGATTTCTTATCCTTCATAATCACACAAGCCAGGCCCTCATAATAAAGCTGTTTTTATATATCTATATTTTAATCTACATCTTATTGTTTCTGTTTCTCTGGAGAACCCTGACCAACACAGACTTTAGCATATAAATCTGCAGGGCAGGAGGTGGGACACAATTCAGCCCCTAATAACCCCCAACTAATTTTGAAGTGTGAAGGGAATGAGATGGTGGAGGGGAAGTAAAGGCAGGATCACTGTGCTAGTACATACTAGTCATAAGCCTGGTCAAAAATAAAATGAAGGAAATGTTTGCGTAGCAGAGTCCAGAGGAGATAAGAGGAGGTGAAATCACATGCGTCGGTGAAAGATTTGTCTTTACAAGCAAAACAAATTTTAAAAACCTAATCAAACACAAATTTTAAAAAACCCTTTATATTCTCTGACGGGACAACTTTTATCTTACATGAAATATTCATTAACACATACTGGGTGCCTACTGTGTGTCAGGCATATTATCTCATATCCCACAATAACCTGAAAGGCTGGCACCACTATCTCCACTTTATATGTGAGAAACCTGAAACCGAGAGAAATTAGAAACATAGTTTGACTCACAGTTTATAAAGCACCAGGTTGTCCAACCCCAAGCATGCCTGTTTCATCTCAACCACTTGTCTGTTGTTGAGTTACTGCTGCTTTTACAGAACTTGAGAAAATCCCAGATGTCATTGATTAGGGAATGATGTACTGAAATCCCTCCTGTTTGGTCAGTGTTTCCCATGGGATAAGAAATAAGAGGACAGCTTGATTACCCTTTTTTTTTTTTTTTTTTTTTTTTTTGGCCTCTGAGGTCCACCTTTAGGAACACCTTTAATCATAAATTCTTAACACTTTACCTCATCCAGGTAGAATAGTAAAATTTCTCCTCTTGTTCTTGAGACCTTTTCCAGGCTTTCCTTATAACATTCATCATGTACTAATCAATTTGCTCATTTGTGCTTTCCTTTCTCATTCAACTGAAGTCCAGAATTTTCTTTTGTCTTCGTATCTTCAATGCCTAATATAGTGACTGACACATGTTGGGGGAGGGACTTAGTGGGAGATGATTGGATCATAGAGGCAGTTTCCCCATGCTGCTCTCCTGATAGCGAGTGAGTTCTCACAAGATCTGATGGTTTTCTAAGGGACTCTTCCCCCTTCACTCTCTCTCTTCCCTGCTGCCTTGTGAAGAAGGTGCTGGCTTCCCCTTCTCCTTCCACCATGATTGTAGATTTACCCAGCCATGTGGAACTGTGAGTCAATTAAACCTCTTTCCTTTTAAATTACCCAGTCTTGGGTGTTTATAGCAGTGAGAAAACAGACTAATGTATCAACATATGCAAACAGAATTTGCATATGTTGGAGACAGAAAATCTCTCTCTCTCTCTCTTTCTCTCCTATTAATTCAATTAATTTTCTCAAGAACCCTGTCAGGAACATGCTCCTATTGTCCACATTTTGAAAAAAAACACTGAGATTTAGCAGAACAAAGTATCTTGCCCAAAGTTACCCACGTAATAAGTGGAAAAGCCACTCAAGGCCCTTGGTCTGCCCGTGCCTGCCAGTGCTCTTGATAACACAACATGGAAAGTGCCCTTTAACAATGATTGGCAGTCAATTAATTACTTTAGAATTTCATTCTAACCTTAGAAAATCTTCCTTTCCCTTTTCCAATAACGGATATAAGATAGAGGAACCTCATTTGTGTTGAGGACAGGAACCCGACACTTCTGTCTGTGTCAATAGTCTCTGGCTTGGTGACTCCCATATATGGGTGCTCAGTAAATGTGTAGGAGCCCAATACAGGACATGTTCAGTCTTTATGCTAGAGGTGTCTTGGGCACAGAGGGCCAGGGTGACCTTTCCAAGATCAATCCCATGCCTCTTGGCTCAAACACTGATCCATCTCTAGAACCTGGGGATATGTATTATATAATGTTCTATATACTTTACATAATTTGTTCTCATGATACTTGCTTGGGTAAGTATGAGAATTATTTCCATTCACATGAAAAAAGGTGGTCTTGGAGAAAGGCTAAATGACTTGCCCAAGTTCACACAGCTAGTAAGTGGCAGAGCTAAACTTTAGACTCAGTCTTCTTTTTCCCCAGCCCCTCTGCATTTTCTCCAGCATAGCCTACCAAAAAATCAGAACTGTTTACTTGGAGATTTTCAAACTGGCCGTGACGTGACTTGTTGAGGCCACACACATATAAAAGAGGGAGGGAGCTGTATTCTTTACTCTGTGCCAGATTTTGCTCAGATATGAAAATAAAGCTACTGAAAAACTAGAACAGAAGCTGTTGAAACTTTTTCCTCAAAGACGGGTAATAGGTCTTTAACAATCCAGACACATGTTGCAGTCCAGTTGATCTACAGCCAAGAGTATATTTGCAGGATAGCAGCTAGCTATGGTCTCTCCAGTCAAGGAACAGGATTAACCTAATTAGCCACTAATGTCACCAAATGCATGACCTGAAAAGGCAGGCAGGGGCTGCCCAAGCTGGAATAGCCAGCCACCAACAGTCATTTAGAGTACCTCATACAGAGGAGGGGACTTATTTCAGTGGGATTTCAATTGAACACATCAGTAAATCATACAGACACATGCAAATATAAAAATGCAAATTTGAAATACAACATTTTCTTGTAGGTGATTTTGGGACTGAAACAGGTGAATGAAACTTCACACAACCACTGTTTTGTCCCCGGTGGATTCCTAGGGAGTATCTCAGTGCCTTGCACTCAATACTGTTTATTGAGTAAAGGAATCAATGAGTACAAACATGTTCTTATGAAAGCAATCACCCATAAGGCTACACACATCTCTAATTCTCATTTGGTTTTAACTTCCCCATTGCAATTAAAAGTCTACCTTCATTTACATGCATATCAACCAACATCCCCCAACAAAAAAAAGAAAGTTGCATGAAAAAAAAATAGAAAAGCTATGAATTTCCACCATGTCCCAGATTTTCCAAATAATCCTGCCGTTCGGAAGCCTGTTCATAGACCCCCAAAGTACTGAAAGGCCTTGCAAAATGCTCATAGGTGAAACAGCGGAAAGCATCTAGAGCCATCTCAGAGGGAGCCTTCTGCTTCCAGAAATAAAGTCACACATTCACAGGTGCTTCCTGTTTTTTCAAACACCTTGCCCACCTTCTGCACACCAAGCGTGGATTCTGCAAAACGTGAGCCCAACAGGAAGCTGTCTGCAATTTCAGGTAGCTTTTCTGACTCTTAAAGAGATCTCAAGTATACTTTCAGAGAAATGCCAGCAAAAACTGAAGTCATTCGGGAAGGAGTAAGTCTGGAAGAAAAAGATACAGTGAACTAGCACAACGAGGGTGAGAACATTTTTCATGAAACTGCTGTCTGTAAATTACATTTTTAAAAAAGTAAATGTGTTTTCTTTAGGTTTTTAGCTCCTGTGGGTGGAATTAGGAGAACTGACTGTAAGCGGGTGGTGTTTGTCATATCTCTGCTGTGAGGGAGGAAGAAGAAGGAGGAAGGCTGGGGTGGAGAGGAGGAAGGAGACCGGAGACCCGCGTGGCTGGAATGTCTCCACTGAGCTCAGGGGGATGAATTCCTCTGAGACTTCTTGCATTTGAGGAAGCTCACAAACCCTTCCTGAGATCTCAGAATAACCTTGAAATGAACATGTAGAACACTGATTAAGTTGTGTGTTCACAGTAAGCTTTGATTGAACTATTCTAGTGAATTTCTTCTTAACATGGTCACAGGTGGATGAGTTGGGAAGAAAATGCCACGGGGGCTGTACTCAGTTTTAAAATGAATTCAGAGAAGTTGTTCAAGGTGATAAGCGCCATGTCACATATCATAGGTCTTGGATAATTTAGGGTGATTTTAAAAATGTAATTATAACTGCTAATTGCATAATTACTGCTAACAGTACTGGTTCAGTTCCAAGTATGTATTCTCACATTTGCTTTTGTTTTCTTCTATATTTTCCCATCTGTCTTGCCAAATTAAGTTAAATCATGTAAATAATTTTGCTCATTAAATTGACTTCTTAATGTTCTTTTTTTCTGAAATGAAATTAAAAACAATATCTACAAAGTTAAGTTTCTTCAACTTAACTGGTAAAAGGGCTGCATGGGAGAATGTTTCTCTGCTGAAATTCAAAGAAATGTCTTTAATCTACAATGGTCAGAACTGGTCCATATAAATCCTCCCTGAGCTTACCCTTAGCAGGGAATTAAGGGAACAAAGTTAAGAGCAATTAACTTTGTTTTGCTTGTAGTAACAAAAACAGAAACACCTGAACATCTTATATGACCAACAGAAGTTTTATAATCCTTTTTTAAAGGAAACTTTATACACCTAAAGGTTTGAAATACATTAATACTTTTTTTTTTTTTTTTTTTTTTTTTGAGACAGAGTCTCGCACCGTTGCCAGGGCTGGAGTGCAGTGGCGCGTCTCGGCTCACTGCAACCTCCACCTCCCGGCTTCAAGCGATTCTCCTGCTTCAGACTCCCAAGTAGCTGGGATTACAGGCGCCCGTCACCACGCCCAGCTCATTTTTTGTATTTTTAGTAGAGACGGGGTTTCACTACGTTGGCCAAGCTGGTCTCAAACTCCTGACCTCATGATCTGCCGCCTCGGCCTCCCAAAGTGCTGGGATTACAGATACGAACCACCGCTACATTAAAAATTTTTTAAAAACTTTAAACTCTGTTCTGCACAAGAAACTATTTCTCTTCTACCTGTCCTATGTGGTTTGGTGAAGCACCATGTCACCATGTGCATATGGCTATTGAAGATCCAATATGCACATGCTATAGATTCAAACAAGTTGCTATCCAGAAAGAACCTGACACCCTCTCAGGACACACACATGTCACAGTGAAATGATACCAGATACTGGCAAAGGAGGGGTAGAGTCTACTCTTGGTTCCATTATTTACCAAGTATCTCTAGGTTTCCGTTTTCTCATTAGCAAAAAGAGGAAATTGGACTATGTGTTCTGTAAAACCGCTCCTAGCTTTAAAGTGTATTGATTCTTGGGTTTTAAGAAGACCTGAAATAAAAGACAGCACATACTAAATGGCAGGTAAGCTGCTATAATGGTTCTGAAAAGGAAGCGACTGCATAGGTTTGGAGCATCTGGGAAAGCCTCCGTGGGGCTGAGAGGTGTGGCTGGCTCTAGAGAATGGGTGGAACTTAAGAAGGTAGAGATGAGGGGGAGCAGGTCACAGGGCACACTCAGGAGACCGGGAGATGCTCGACTGTGGCTAGATCCAAACAGACCCCCGATGCACATATGAGTGCTAGAGAAAATCTTGTTCTTTGCCACCTTAATGAATGAGGATATTAAGATCACTTGTGGGAAAGTTTTAGTAGCTGAGACTGCTGATCCAATGAGCACAGCATCTTCAAAGGAAAGCCAGCAAGATGGGCCGTGTTAAACCCAAAACTTTCGTCAAGGCTCTTTGGCTGTTCCGCACTGGGGAGGTCTCAGTCAGTGCTCTGTACTGCAACTATGCCCTCACATGACTCCTCTCTTTTAAATAGCTGGAAGGCCCTTAAATAGGTTCAAAAAACAAGACTTCCTAAAAGAAAACTAGGCAAATTCTGCCACCTCTGAGCTCTGTGACCTTGAAAAGTTTGTTTTAAATGAAATAGCTCAAGGATAGAGAGAATCATCTAGATTGAAAGAATAAGTGTCCATGTGCTTGTCATCCAGCTTTGTTACATGTTATCGCTCGTATTTTCTCATAGTTATTTCAGATTTTTCACAAGGAATGAAAGGTTAAAGTTGATGCTAATTATGTACTACCTTTCAAGCCAATTCTCTTTCTCTCTCTCTCTTTCTCTTTCTCTCTGTCTCTGTATCCAGGAGCAAACACATTTTGAATTTGATGTTTATCTTCCCGTGATGTTTCTGTATTTATGCTACCTAGACATCTACAAATAATATTGAGTATTGTTTTGTGTTCCTAGATGTTATATGAATGATATCGTACTTTGCATATCTTTTAATATCTTGCTTTTGTAATTCACCATTAAATTTTTGAGGTTTATCCATGCTGATACACATTATTTTCACTGCTACATAGAATTCCATTGAATCATTATTCCAAAATTTATCAATCTATTGTCTTGTTAGTGGCATCTTGGGTTGTTTAAAAGATCTTTCTATCTCGAATAATGTTGCAACATTGCCCTCACACGTGTTTCCTCCACATAGGTCAAAGGTTCCCTAGGAGCCGTTGGAGGACACATTTACTGTTGGTTTTAGAAGGTATTATATAACTGCTCTGTACTTTTCTAACAGTGAGGACTTCCAATTCTCTATATCCTTGCCCACGTGCAACATTTTAATCCTTTTCAATTTGATAGGGATGCTGTTTTAATGTTCATTTACATGCCATAAAAGCCTTTTATGCTCCATTGTACAGAATACTAAAGTGAAATCTTTATTTCTCTTGCTACATACCCCAGTCTAGTTTCTTTTAGGACTAATCTACTTCCTTTCAGTTTATGGTATTTTGGTTACCAAACTAGACACTGTTTTTCTTTGAGTAAATATAACTCAAAGCAGGTGTTGACTTTACACAGTAACAAAGAAAGGTAAATTGTTTGCAAAAGTAGAGATAATATAACAGTGCCAAATTTAAGGTTCAGAAAACATCCCTTGATTTTGTATCCAATTTTCTTTCCCTTTGGTCCTCCCACCAGTTGATAACCACCATGAACAGCCAAAATACGGCATGCAAAATTATATTTGTGATATTTGCAGCTTGACTTAAGAAACTGAAGTAGCTGAAAATCTGACAAATATGTCCTCTTGTCACTTTCCTGTCCTTGTGCAGTGGTGAGGGATTTCAGACACAAACAGGTCCCCATTAGGCTTGAATCACTTTGATAAAGCTCTGATAAGCATCAAGGTTCTGGGGCTTTTTACAGAAAAGAATTTCTTTTTCTTTATTTTTTAATTTTCTGAATTTCAATGGGCAGATTAAAGTTCTTCTGTTTCTTTAGAAAATCACTCTCTGTTTTTTATGCAGTTCACGATGTACTTTCTTCTTTCACTCAGACAGGATTTAGAAGAGCAATCTGGCATTCATCTCAGTGAAAGCATCAAAATATCTAACACTGTCAGATCATTAAATAGAACGCTATATAGTTATAAAATATACATCCTAAACCATTTCTAAAAGGTCATTGAGGAATCTTAAGTGATCAGAAAAATGTTCATGAGATAAGGCTCAGTCTGTGGAAATAAACTATATGTATATGGGCATATCAAAAATAGTTCCATCTCTATCTTTCAATCTATTTATTATCAATCTATCTAGATAAAGGGAATATACCAAAATCTTAACAGTGAATATCTTCCAGTGAAGAGACCATGAATTATTAAACACTTAAAAACATATTTCTGATTTTCCAATAGTTCTACCATGAGCATATATTATTTTTATAACCTAAAATGGTTAGAACAAAAGGCACTTATTAATAAAAAATATAATGTACCGAAGTTCTAAGAAGACAGTCTTATAGTATGGAGGCTTGATAAAGAAATTTAATATAGTCGTTATTTTTCTTTTGACTTTCCTTTTATTTTTCTTTTTGCAAACTCTTTCTGAGTTGAACACAGGTTTGGGAAAATAACAGAATTGTAACTTTCCACATATATTTTTTAAACATACATTTAGTAAATATAGACATGTACAAGCATGTCTAAATGGTAGCCTGTTGGGGTTTATTTGCATAAAGGGCAGAGGGTCTCAGTAATAACAAGTTATTATTTTCTTAAGGTTGATGGTTAGTACCACCGTGCTCCCCCCAAAACCCCACTCACTGTGGCATGGGAGAATAATTTAACCTTCCAAGCATTGGGAGGCATGTCAGTAGAGGAAGGCAGTCATCATCACAGGAGAGTTGTTGTACACAGGTTGAACTGGGGTTATCCTTGGGCTAAAGAAGAACTCAGTGGTACCTTCATACAGCGACAACAAGCTTCCTACCCCTCCTTCAGAGAAGAGCCATGGCCCTCAGTAGAGGGAGCTATAATAGAGAATGAGTTAAATGAATGCTTTATTAACCAGTGTTTGTGCAAATCAGTAAGTCACAGAGCACCCAGTTTCATTTGTATCCATCAATGCATCATTATATCCACATGGAAGCACAGCAAAGAAGGACAGTAGGTGGATGATGCTGTGGGGATCTCCTACCCCTTCTGAGTTCCTATTACATCTAGTATAATCACAATCATACATTTATTTCTTGAGTAAACAAATTTGGAGATTTTAAAATATGCTGCTTTATCCTAACTTGGTAAAACCCCTATATACAATTACCTAAAACTAGGGGGAGAATTTAAATACAGCTTTCAAAGCAATTTAGCAAGTGTGTATGAAATGGCCACACAATATGTCTGGCACTATTCGAAACATTGTAAGGCTGAAGAAATAAGACACTCCTCCAAAGAGAACATCTTAGGATCTTATCTGGATGATGAAATAGATGTACATGAAGCACACAAACAACATTACATGTTCTAGGAGGTACAGTAAAATTAAGCATCATAAGTGATGAAAGTGATCTACTGCAGATTTAAAGTATGAACTCTGGAATTGGCTCCCCTGAATTCCAATCTTAGTTCATTTGATTATTGGCTGGGTTTAAAGAAACTTAGGCAAGTTACCTAACCTCTTTATGTCTCAGTTTCCTCATCCATAAAGTGGTGAAACTAATATCTGTTTCATAAAGTAAATTACATATAATATGCTTACAAGAGGGTCTAATACACAGATGAAGCTCAAGAAACAATTACTTTTATTACTATCAAATGTCAAGAAAACTAGTTTAGAGACTACGTATGATACTTATAAAATATTTATTGCCAGGGTTGGACCAGACTTTTGAGAGAAAGTGCCTTTTAGAAATGGCAGAATGGGCCGAGCGCTGTCTCAGGCCTGTCATCCCAGCACTTTGGGAGGCCGAGGTGGGTGGATCACGAGGTCAAGAGATCGAGACCATCTTGGTCAACATGGTGAAACCCCGTCTCTAGTAAAAATACAAAAACTATTTGGGCGTGGTGGTGCACACCTGTAGTCCCAGCTACTCGGGAGGCTGAGGCAGAAGAATCACTTGAACCCAGGAGGTGGAGGCTGCAGTGAGCTGAGATTGTGCCACTGCACTCCAGCCTGGCAGCAGAGCGAGACTCCGTTTCAAAAAAAAAAAAAAAAAAAAAAAAGGCCACGCGCCTGTAATCCTCACACTTGGGGAGGTCAAGGCAGGCAGATCACAAGCTCAGGAGATTGAGACCATCCTAGATAACATGGTGAAACCCTGTCTCTACTAAAAATACAAAAAATTAGCAAGGCATGGTGGCACGTGCCTGTATTCACAGCTACTCGGGAGGCTGAGTCAGGAGAATCACTTGAACCCGGGAGGCGGAGCTTGCAGTGAGCCGAGGTGGCGCCACCGCACTCCAGCCTGGGCGACAGAGCGAGACTCCGTCTCCAAAACTTTCAGGTTGCATTTTATAAAAGACTGAGGATTATTTATCCCAACAAATGCAAAATAATTTCCATAAAGAGTAGAAAATATAAGTGGTAGGAAAAAATATATCAGTTGATTATTTTCTTTAAAAAAAGAATTCAGATCACTCATTTGATGTTTCTCTTCAGAGTTTGAAAAGTTCATGACAGCTCACAGCTCACGATGGTGGCGATCTTAAGGATACAGAAAGCTCATTCCTCATGCAGGGAAGAAGAAAATATTCTAAAGAAGAGATAAGCATATTCCGCGAAATCAAAAAAGGTAGGAAAACAGTATTTATTCATTCACTCCTTCACTCACTCAACAAACGTATATTTAATGCCTACTATGCGTTAGGCATAGTACCAGAATCTGGAATCCAAAATTAAATGAGTCTCTGTCCTCAAGAGTTTACAAGACAGAGCAGTAAATAAGTGATCAAAATACTGTATGATAACAATTAGTACAAGGCATGGAGCTGAGCCTGGATAGTAAAGCAGAGGTCATGTGAGTGAGTTCTGTCTTTAGTCTGATACAAATGGGAATCCATTGAAAGATTTAAACAAGGAGAATGCTATCTAACTATTTTCATTCTTAAAAGGTTACACGTTGTATAGTGGGAACAAATTGAATGGTGAATCAGAGCTGAGATTTTGTTATTTTTATAACTGCAAAATCTTGTATAGTTTTCTATGTCTATAAAGTACAATGAGTTCACACCCTCTTAAATCTATGTAGCTGTGGGTCCCCTCCAATGCTATTATTCATCTAGCAGTTTCCCTTCTGCTCCCACTCATTTCTCTACAATGAATAACAGAACTGCAAGTAGACAAAGAAGGATGGAGAATGAACTTGGTTTCTCTCTTTCAAATGCAAGCTAACAGAGAAGCTCAGGAACTCACACCTTGAGGAGAGGGTAATATGCAGTGGTTAATAACATAGAATATTGATTTAAAAACTAGTGTTGTCCATTGCTCATTCTGTGACCTGAGGCAAACTTGTCGATATTTCTGGTCTTAATATCTTTACTTTAAGATGGTAATAAAATTATTTCTATCTTTTATTTGTCAGACTCGGCTAACTGCTATAACAAATAAATCAAATCTCAGAGGCTTAACACAATAAAAATATATTTCTGGTTCAAGTTAAGAAAAGGCATTAGCTAAAACAATAAGATAAGTTATTATAATATAAAATTGCAGGATAAAAACATTACATAGATAACTTATTTTAGATACATAAACAATGTTTATTTAGATGTTATAACAGAAAAATCATCATTTATAATAACAACAAAGAACATGAAACACTTTTAAATACACTTAAAAGGAAATGTGCAAAAATTGTGTAAGGAAAGCATTTGTGAAAGATATAAAAACACTGAAGAAGAGCCAAGAAAACACTTACAAAGAAAAACTAGGAGGAAGAACTAGCCCTATCACACATTAAAACATACTACAAAGTCTTCATAATTAAGATTCTGGTATGTAGGTGCATGACTAGAAAAATAAACTGAGAGAATAAATTAGAAAGCCCAGAAATCAACTCAAGTACATATGGAGATTTAGTATATGATAAGTGACATCACAAAATTACTGGGGCAAGCAAATTTTAATAGATAGTTCTGGGACAACTGGATAGCTATTGGGAATGAAATAAGTTTAGATCTGTATCTCACACCATATATAAGCATAAAGACCCAATGAAAAATAGATATAATATAAATGTAAAACAAAAAAGATTTTTTAAACATACTGGAAGAAAACATGGGTGAATATTTCTATTTAACGTTGGTATAGGGAAAGATTTTCTAAACATGACTCAAAATCCAGAGGCAATTAAAAAAAAAAGATTGACAAGTGGCCAAATAAAAACAAAAATTTTTATGCATGACAAAAACACCATAAACAAAGTCAAACAACAAACAAACTTTTAAAAAATGCCTGCAACATTAATCTTTCTATAATAAAGCACATATACTGCTAATATATTAAAAACTTCTAAAATTGAAAGAAAAGGGATTTTAAAAAAAATTGAACTAGGTAAAGAAACAAGAGTAGACAATTCACAAAAAGATATATTAAAAAACCTTGTAAGATAGCAAAAAATGTTTGATATCATTCATAACTAGTGAAATGCAAATTAAAACTTTATAGGAATATTATTTTCCACCTATCAGATTAGCAAAAAATTAAAACCATGGCAGTCATCTGTAGGGAAAGAGATACTCTCACACACTGCTGGTGAGAATGTCAAGTGGTACAAGCCTTTCAGAGGGAAATTTGGTAATGCCTAAGAAACTACATATACACTTATTTTTTAATTCAGCAATTCCACTTCTAAGAATTTACCCAGAAGATACACCTCCCATAAGGCAAAAATACATTTGCACAAGGTTATTAATTGTGACGTTGTTACTGCAAAATATTGGAAACAGTGTACATATCTGAATATAAGAGAGTAAACAAATTGTGTACCTCTACAGGCTCTAAGAGAAAATAAAATAGAAGAGGATTCCTGTGAAACAATTTGGATTGTTTTTCACAACACATTAAGTAAAAAAGAAAAAAGACAAAGTGCAAAAGAGTATCTATTATGTGTCAACTTTTATGAAAGAGAGATTGAAAAAAAAAAAAACAAAAACGCAAAAAGGTTAACCCAGGAACTAAGATTGCTTATATATAGGGATAAGAGGAAGGAGTAGAGGTACAAGGGATGATGGGGGTGGGAAAGGAACACCTCTCTGAGTATAACTCTTTGTACAGTTCTGACTTTTAGAAACCATGGTAATATTTCTTTTCTTTTCTTTTTTTTTTTTTTTTGAGACGGAGTCTCACTCTGTCGCCCAGGCTGGAATGCAGTGGCCGGATCTCAGCTCACTGCAAGCTCCGCATCCTGGGTTTACGCCATTCTCCTGCCTCAGCCTCTCGAGTAGCTACAGGCGCCTGCCACCACGCCCGGCTAGTTTTTTGTATTTTTTAGTAGAGACGAGGTTTCACCGTGTTCGCCAGGATGGTCTCGATCTCCTGACCTCGTGATCCGCCCGTCTCGGCCTCCCAAAGTGCTGGGATTACAGGCTTGAGCCACCGCGCCCGGCCGGTAATATTTCACATACCAAAAATATAAATAAATGACAAAAATCAAGCAGGATGAAGGGAGAACCCAAAATTCAATACGAACAATAACAAATAAGCCTAACTCGATTACAAACCACACTGGAGGGGATGAGGAAGAAAAGAATGAACTAAAGGCAACTTTGAAACCCAATGTATTATTACATACGTGTATTATTAATACAATGTATATATTATATGCTCTAAGACCAAAGACCAACAGGCATGTACACAAGCAATGTTCCCCAGACCCAAAGTTCCCCAGACCCAAAGAGGAATCGGTTAGTAATTATAAAACAAGTTCATGTATATTTTAGGATTGTGCAAATAAGTAAATAATATTTGGATAACAAGAGGGATATTTCTCACTTTTAGAGAAATGAGTTACTAGTAGGGAAAGGAGGAAGGCTAGAATTAACCCTGTAGTATTGTATTGAAATCAAATGTATTGGTATGAACTGATGGTGATAGATAGATAGATGGTACATAGATAGGCAGATAGATAGGAGATAGATAGATAGATAGATAGATAGATAGATAGATAGATAGATAGAT